GTCCATCTCACGGTTCCCATCCACTTTCTTAGTTTTTCTCTTTCTTCAGGTGTTGGATAAATCCGTATCTTTCGTGGTTTCAATCTCTCTTTGACATTTTCGATTCTTGACTGATTTGAGCCCATTGTATCTTGCTGTGAAGATAGTAATGTTTGATAATAAGTCCTCGGCAAGCTCACCGGATTCGGTGTCATCAACGTTAATGTCCGAACCGAGTACCACGACCTTTGTATCTGCTTAACAAATATTCATTCGACAAGTTCAAAAGCGAAGCGGCAGAGCCGGTCCTTGTGGGTAACCACAACCTCCTCGATATCTCCTTGGTACGATCGTTTCAAAATGGGTAAAACCCTTGTTGACATTATTTTATTCAAACATGCGAAAACGGGACTTATTTATACTTGACAAGAATATTAAATCATCGACAATGATGTTTGTTAAAAAATACTTACGATTGTTAAAAATAACAATCAGTAAAATAAATAGCAACATAGTATATCTAATTTATAATATCGTATTTGTTCTATTCCGTAAACTCGGAATGTATTTGAAGGAATTCTACCTACGTCAGCTGATACCCTATCGCATTAATAATTTTTTTTTTTGTTTTTTAAAAATTGACATTAAACTTTGAAATTTTGAATACGGGTGATCTTTAATTATAATCGTAAAACAATACGTTTTGTATAGATGCAGTAAATATGTGAAATTCTCATTAATTACTTACCAATTTGGATAACTAATGAAATAATTTTTATTTTTTAGAAATATTAAAAATTTCACTTACCGCTTTATCAATAACCCAATTACTGACCCGGTCAACGTGTAGTCTTATTATTTATTTAATAATAAATCAATACGTTTTTTTATAGTCGTTAGCTATGGTAAGAAGTTTTCATCTTTCATTTATAAAACCAACTTTCGAAAAATCTTTTGAAAATGAAAAATTTCAATTTTCTGATTTGATTATAATCAATCAATTAACAAAAATTCATATGATTCATAATAAATCCAATAGAACAATAGAAATACGAAAGTTTGAAATAGATTAATTTTATGATGATTGTTAAAACACAAGCCCGATATGGTATCAGATGACGATTATTTTGCATTGATGATTGACATCATGGATCATTTATTTTACCGCACATTTTACGATCACCTATCAAAAGAAAGTGTAGATCTTCCTTTGTAAGTGCATTTTTTATTTTTTGATCTACAAAATTTTTCCACCGAAAAATACTGACACGAAAAAAAAACGCCTACAACCCTAGGTTGGTAATTATTTGAACAAATAGATTGCAATCAAATAAAATAATGAATTGAAGAGCTTTCACTTTACCGGACTTATCTTCTCCTCTCCTCTTCTTCCTTTTACTGAAATGGTAAAAGAAACCAGAAATTTACAACAGTACAATATAAAATGTACTATGACAGGTAAATCATATGGAAAAGGATTTCCGACTCGTATATCTCGTGTGATGCTCTTTTTGATACAGCTGGCGTTTAATTTTCTCCCTTCCGTTTCAGCGCAACTTCAGATGTCATTATCACCATCCTGTCTGGATTGATACCAACCTTGATCTTTTTTTTCTTTGAGGATAATATAAATAGAAATTGGAATACTCTCTTGGGTATTCTCGATGATTTTATCATATTGATAATGCCGGCTATTCTTGCATATTAAAAGCATTACCGGGAATTTACTTCGTGGCGTGCATGGCTTCATTCGGATATTCGTTATCTCGCCTGTTTATCTATCCTGAAGCGGATTTGGTATCAGGTCTATTCGCCATTTTAATCGTTACTTTTTTCACTCAAAAGTACAGGAATAAAGTTCCATGCCGGTTCTTTTTTACTTTTATAATGATCAACTCTATGAATTTCGATTGGGTTACCATATTTCATGTTTATCAAATCCAACCACATCCAAGCTCCTTTATCACACGTTGGTGAAAATCAATTCGACAAATATTAGTTATAAAAGCATACTACTCATTTAAGTGAACAAGGTTTTGAAGAAATCATTCGAGAGTTGATTGGCAATGGGCACAAGATTGACATACCTCAGATTGACATATCAATAGGCATGGAGTAAATGTCGAACTTTCCAAATTGTACCAAGCAATAACCAATACAGAAAAACAAGAGGTTATCAAGTACTATTACCGTTTCGGGGAAGCCGTATCGAAACGCATTTTCCAGCATGAAA